AGGGGCGGAACAGGGCATTTTGAAAACTTGCTTGTTATTTAACTTATTTTAGAGTTGAATTTAGACGGCTACTTTGGGTTTTTTGAGATTTCCCCCCTCCCTAGCTAGCCTTATAATTACTTCCTTCATACCCTAGGGTTAAGAGGCTTATTTTAGTCCTTTTTACTACTTTCTTTTCTGAATTATTTAGGTTGACATTAGTCACGTCTTAGCTTTTAGTTTAAACAAACCAGTTTAATTGCTATCCTAGTTAAATTAATCTTTAAGCTTTTCAATCACATCTTTCATGCTTTAATCTTTAGAGCTTTCTTATAATTCTTCATCAATCCTTTCCAAAAGTTTATAGTATCTATTTCTTGTTATTCCCTTATATATATGCATATATGAATAATTGATTTATGGCTCTCATAAATCAATGCATACATGCATCACCATATGTTAAATCAAGATCATCATTAGATAGTACAAGTGTACAACAAGCAAGCTTAACATAAATCTATCATACACATTCATATAAATTTCCACAAATTTACCGAGAAAACATATCACAAGTTCACAACCATGCAACTCAATAGCAATTTCACTAGTCCATACTTAGCAAATTTACACACATTTCAGTTTTCACATTGAGTTGAGTATAAATCAAGTGAGGAATATTTGATTAAAATTTTATTTAAAATCACACAAATCCTAATTGAAAAAAAAAAATTCATATTTGATAAATACACATTAATACAAATCTAATAATATTTCATTTGACATTTTTATACTCATACAATAATGTATAATATCTATAAAAATCTTAGAAATTGTAAGTATAAAACTCCATAATTTTAATAGAAATTAAAGTTTCCAAGACCATGCAGCACATAAAATTCATGGTTTTGGAGGAAGTATTGAGCATGATCGAATGTGACTTTTTTCTTAACTCTCCTTGTGTACTTACAATCTCTTCTGATCTCCTAACAATACACTCCCTACTTCGTAACTCTTCAAACTTAGAGTCAATGAAATTAAAAATCATGTATGAAATGGATTGGAGTCATATAGGGTAGCTATCATCATTAACAACTTTGAAGTTGAGGTAGGTGATGAAATAGAACATTAATTTGTACGTGCATGAGGTTTAATTTAAATCTTTTTGATGAAAATTACTAGACTATTATTATGAGTATATAATCATGAATTCCATAAGAAAGTAAACCCTAAATGTGTAAAGAAAATAAGCATTTTCTACCTAGGAACGTGAATTTGTTATAAAAACATGTGGATTACATAAGCATTTAATTAGTTGAATTTATTTGATAAATATATCATAGGATGTTCTGGTATCTATCAATTTCCCTTCTCATAGTAAACCTAATTCGCCCTTTACTTTCTCTAAGTGAGAAACAAGTAATTTTGCATGTGAATGTCAACACTCTTATCCTAAAATTGGCTATATATTCTCACCTCATGATTTTCACACTAAACATGCTACTATAACACTTTCACATTCTTATATTTACCTTAAATATTTTCCTTAGCTTTTGTTTCATGCCGGATCTAATGCTAGCCAATGAGTTGCTGATAGCAGTTAATACTACGAGAGCAAACTTATTCAAAAATCCAAAAATTAGATTAGATGTTAAATTTGAATAGTGTATGTATCAAATAAAAGTTGCATTGATATATGGTTATCGGATTGAATACCCAATTTGAAAATCTGGCAAACAAGTATGATGATAGGTTTTATTTTGAATGACAATCCAATAAGCTTCTATACTTCATATTTACTCGTTTGTTTCTCGTTTTTTTTTTCTTTTTTAAAAATCAAATTAAACATTGTTGTTCGAGGAAACATAAACTTACAAATGTTTACTAATTGCTATACAATTTGAGTATAAAGTATAAGTATTACAGTAATAATAAATGTAGGGTGATGTCATGTGATAATGTTAATCACTTGTTCACTTCAGCTTAATTTTAGTTCAATTTAGTTCAGTTCAGTTCAGTTCCAATCAGTTCAGTTCACTTCAGCTTCAATCAGTGCAGTTCAATTCAGCTCTTAATTAATTTCCTTCTCTCAAAAAATATTTAGTTCAGTTCAGTTCAGCTCCAATCAGTTCAGTTCAATTTAGTTTAGCTCCAATCAATTCAGTTCAGCTCAGTTCAGTAAATGAGAACAAGTCCTAATTTTTTTATTAAGCTCTAACTTTATTTTCGAATTTACCTAGATGTCATATCATACATTCAATAGTTAATTCAAAAATTCGAGTATCCAAAATTATCGATTTAGTTCCTCATGTATATCATTTTTAGTGTTATATACTCGTATTGATTATCCCATACACAAATTAGGAGATCCAACTCAGTTTTACCCCTAATAGCGGGCAGTGGCATAGGATCAAAAGGCTTATTGAAGATTTGAAGGTGGTCTAGACTAGAATAATATGGAATCTTGAAAGAACTTGTTTAGTTGCTTGTCAAAATGAACTTTCCTTGAAAAAAGTCAAAGTAGAAACCGTGTAATTTCCACGTTAACATACATGGAAAACTTGTAAGATTCATTAGTCACTAATTAGCGAAATTGCGTCCTAAAATAATCATCGGACGTAATAATTTTTTAATCCTTTTCCTTAAATACCCTTACTAATTCCTACTTTCATGCCAAAATATCTTGTAACATTTTCACCAAAAAAAATTAGTATCTTGTAACATTTGGGATTTGTAACCTAATATTTTATCAAAATCATTTTCAACAAAAAAAATTAAAAAAAATAAAAAATCATGGGAAGGTATGTTTTATCAATGTTATAATAATTTGTAGCCTCACTGATCATCAATCTATATATTTTTAAAATAATATTTAATTGGCTTTATAGATGCGAAATGCTAAGTTTATTATCTATACTAATATATTAAAAGGCGACGTTGCCACATAATCCCTATTTTGTTGCGCCACATCAAACATAAGGATAAGGAGGTTTGAACCCTCAACCTCCTGTAACACATATGACTATTTAACCATCTAAGCCAGTATCAACTATGGTATTCATATGGAAAAAAATTTATATAATTGCAAACCACAAGTTTCAATTTAAAATAAATAAATAATAATAATAAAAAAAACTATATTCAAAGAATAACTCAATTTTGGTTTGACAATGACAATTGCAATTTTGAAAAACCTTTTAAAAAATTATCGATTGTACTTCTACAACAGTAGAACCCAGGACAACGCCCGGGGGCACTCACTAGTTTCCTTATTATTAGGTCATGCAGTCAATAGTAATATACTATTATACTGCAATATTTTCAATTAAATTGTTAATTAATTAGTGAGCTAAGGGAATTTTTGAGTTCGGAACTCATAATCAATCTGCCATCGTGTCAATTAAAAATTAGTCGACTTACTTAGCTCGAATCATAAACTTTGTGTCAAGTAAATGTTAATCGGATCAATTATTGCTCGAATCATAAATCAATCGTTACTCAGTTTAGTCGGATTAATAGCATGTCAATATATATAGAATTAGGTCTAAATTTGAATCATATTCTATTGGGTTGGGGCTTTCATGGTTGCATTAAGGTGCGTGACTAGCTGGGGTTTGGGGTGTAACTATTAAAGAACTATCTCAACCAAAAGATGAAGCTGATGGTTGAGATCCATGAATATGTTTGATACTCTATCACTTAAATTATTCAGGTTAATTTAAAATGGAATGATCTTGTTGGTCGAGATTGACTTGTTATAGAGTAAACCAATAAAAAAAAACTTGTTCTTTTGTTAATTTTTGTTGATTTTTTGTTGATTTTTTGTTTTTTTTTGTTTTTTTTTTGTTTTTTTTTTATATTTTATTTTTTAACATGCATTATTAAACGTACCATATCACTTGAACATTTAAATTGTGTTACAAATGGGTTTAGCCAAGATCGAGGATCATATTATGAAGGGAAAAGTCCAATATAAAATATTGCTATCCATCATTATTCTGATTGTGTGACCAATAATAATATCCGAAAGTGATGTTTTACTCCTAAACTAAGTCTATAGTATCCCAATCTAGTTCATGAAATGGGTATAGTCCACTTTTAATAGTAATTAAAGTTGGGTGTTTAATTATGTAAGATTAGTACTTCACAACAATGTATTAATTTATGGTCACCTAACTTTACATATCTATATTATTTTTTAAAAATTGTTACATTTTTTTTTTTGCTTATTCATTAAACTAAGCGTGTAATATAAAGTCTATGGTTAAATGAACTTAACTAGTTTAATTTTATGTTCATATGTTGGTAGGAAAACTTATGCCTTCAACAACCATTACAAGCGATATACAAATAATTTCCAAAAATTAATAAACTAATACTTCCATAATTATACAATTTGGTCGCAATTATAACTTTGTTAATGTACAAATAATTTTTATGCGGTTTATTAGGTTTGACTTCATGCACCATAGTTCCTAGGGTAGCCTTAGCCTTTAATTTAGTGATTTTTTCAACAAAAATATTAGCAAACGAAAAAGAGATAAATAATAACTAGAGATATTAAAAATGGTTAGTCCAAAAATCATGCGAGATGAAAGGCATACTTCCTTATTGTTATAAGTACGCAGTCATTTAAAGCAGCACACGTGTAAGCACGTGTCCAAGTATAATTTCCCCTAAGTTTACCGACGTGGATTACTGCACACACACACATGAAAAATACCCCGCCCACCTCTTCCCTAAAACCTTCTAGAACATCTCCTTAATATTACCGACACGTGTCCTTCTTTTAATACTAGTGACTCAACTCTATTCCCTGCTACTTATTTCCGTGAAGTAAAGATAAGGTCGGCCATCTCAATAAACCCTCGAATACATGATACGTGTCGTTCTCTAACCGGCTCACCATTTTTACCCTTTTGTGGGCCCTATTTTAAGAGGTAAGACAAGGACATTCCGTACTTATCTCTAAAAAAAAATGTTACACATAATTCCCCTTTTATTTTTGTATAAATATGGACCTCCCTCCTTCTATATCTCGAAAAATTGGCAGTTGAAATATTCAAATATTATTCTACTCCCAATTAAACAAAAGCAAAAAAAATTGTAGAATTAGTTAATTGCGAATTTGTGAGAAGATTTGATTTGATTTAATTTGATTGATAATAAAATGGGAGTTCAAGAGAAAGATCCTTTGGCTCAATTGAGTTTACCACCAGGATTTCGATTTTATCCTACTGATGAAGAACTCTTGGTTCAATATCTGTGTAGAAAAGTTGCTGGTCATCAATTTTCTCTTCAAATTATAGCCGAAATCGATCTTTATAAGTTCGATCCTTGGGTTTTACCTAGTAAGTCCTCTGCTTGGATCGGTCGATACAGAGTTTCCTTTGGTGTTACATTTTTTTAATTAAGTCGTCGAATTTTATTTATTAACGTGATAAACTGTGAATTTTGTATAGGTAAGGCGATGTTTGGAGAAAAAGAATGGTATTTCTTTAGTCCAAGAGACCGGAAATACCCGAACGGGTCACGACCCAATAGAGTAGCGGGTTCCGGGTATTGGAAGGCTACCGGAACCGATAAAATTATAACAACACAAGGGAGAAAGGTCGGAATTAAGAAGGCGCTCGTTTTTTATGTTGGTAAAGCGCCTAAGGGTACCAAGACAAATTGGATCATGCACGAGTATCGTCTTACCGAGAATACCCGTAAAACCGGCAGTTCAAAGGTTTGTTAGCGTGACTAAACCTGTTGTATACAATTTTATTTTTTAAACCGATTGATATCGGTTTTTTTATTAAAAAAAAAGTGTTGATTTATTTAGTTAACGCGTTTGATATTTTTGTTTGTTAATCAGCTGGACGACTGGGTGTTATGTCGTATCTACAAGAAAAATTCGAGTGCGGCAAAGCCTACAATGAGCAAGGAAACAAGCACAACAGGTGAAACATCTTCATCGTCATCATCACATCTTGATGACGTAATGGAATCATTACCGGAAATTGATGACCGTTCATTCGCTTTGCCACGTATGAACTCTTTGAAGAATAATAACAATGTTGCCCAACAACAACATCAGCAACAACAGCAACAGCAACAACAACAGCAGCAAAATGACAAGTTTAACCTTCAGCAACTCGGGTCGGGTAGTTTCGATTGGGCTGTACTAGCCGGGTTAACCGCGGCACCTGAATTCGCCTTTACCGGGTCAGCCCAACCTCAAGCGGGGCAAGTAAACAACATTAGTAATAATGGAAATGACTTGTTTATCCCTTCGTTACCACCTTTGTCACAAGTGGAGACTGCGTTAGGTTGTTAATTTTGGATTTATTTGCGGTAATTATTACACTAAATGATTAATTACTGCTGTCATTTCTGGAGATTAGACAACCATTTGTCATAGACTTATAGTATATGCGGTAAATGCAAAAGTGAATTATGGGAGTATTTTTTTGTTTCTCTTTTTTTAATGGGTTTTTGATAGTTAAGGGTTGCTAATTTGGGTTATGATGGGTTGCTTGGTTGTACAGTAGATTTTAAGGATTTGACTAAGTCAAAGCTTTACATTTTTCTCTAAAAAATAAAAATAAAATTTTAAAATAATCAACATACTTTTAAGTTGCATTACTCAAAAGTTCAAACAAAACAAGCTCTTACTTCATTACTTGACTACTCTGATTTAGAGTTAATGCCACGGTTAGTAGATACTCTCACATCTACGTTTTTCCTAACAAGGCTAATACAATATAAATCTCATAATGATGTGAAACACAATTTATTTAGTTTAATATTTTTAACTAACTTAATGAAAAAGATTGTATGATAATATAATTGCAGCAATTGACATTTCAAAGTTAAAAGTTAGTAAACTATGAATGTAGTTCTAAATTAATACGGAGTACTAAGTATACAATATAAACCTCATCAAATAAATCTTGTCAAATTTGTATTTTTATTTTTTTCATCATGTCAAAATTTTACAGCTTATACTAACTAATACATAATGACATATAATAATGGTCACCTTGTAAAATCAAATATTGTAATTAATTTGGGACAGAACTGTGGATAATTATATTGTAGGACTAATTTCAATGTATGCATACTTATTAAAAAATCGCAACTTTATAATTCTTGTTAGTGGATAGTTAATACTACGGTCGAATTAGCAAATAAACCCAAAAAAGTTGGGCAAGATATTTTGGGTAAGGTATTTACGTTGTACCCTCACTTTCTAAAAGTATATCTACCATACATTGCAACTAAAAAATATCTTAATGATTCCCTGATAACCATCACCTCTTCGTCGACAAAACATATAATTGTGAAATTAGCTTGTCATGCCACCTAGGATTGCAAAGCTAATCTACCTTGTAGCTAATTAATCCCACAATGGTTAAGCTAATTTTCAATAATTTTTTTTATTTATTTAATTTTTTTTAATTCCCACAATTTGCTAAGCTAATTAGCTTAGCTAAGCGAATAGCTTTGCCCAGCTAATTTGGTAATGCAATTCCAATGATTAAGCTAATTATTTATTAGTTTCATAAATTACAAGCTAGTCCTAATTTTACACTGTTGGAGTTGCTCTTAGATATTTCTTGTTTTCTATTATCTTATTTTGAGCCTTAAACATCAATTTCCTATGCTAGCTTAATGAATCCATTTCTTTGTACTCTATAATATTTAATAAGAACTGGGGTAAATTTGAATAAAATAAAAAAAATAATAATATCACAATTCATAGCTAATTAGCTATCCATTCAACACAAATTTTTTTTTTTTTGAGGGAATATGTTTGTAGGATTATATTAAATCAATTTTCGCCGAAGATTCAACACACTTTTGTACAATGTAAATTTTAGGGGAAGAAAAAGTGTATGAAATAAATATACAAAATTATGTGGGAAAAAATGGGTATGGTACAAGTGTAATAGTGGGAAAAAGTAGGATGAGGACACGTAAGGGCCGGGGAGAAAAATTGAAAGCATGGAAGAAAAAAGAAGTTGGCTTTTTGTTTAAGGAGAAACGTTTTTTTTCTTAAGTGGTTTCTTTCACTCTTTAACTTCTTTGAGCTGGTGATAGCACAACCTTTCCAAGTGTACCATCAAACCGATATTTGCCCTTTCTATTTTGATATTTTTATAAATGTGCTTTTATTTTTTCGGATTTTTAATATACGTACTTTTAATTGAATATAAACATTAATTATATTTTTTTTTTAGATTTTACTAATTTTTAAATACTTGATTATGTTACATATGTTTAATTAGAATAATATGTCGGTTTAATATTTGCAATGTTTGTATTATGCAAATTTTTTCTTGTAAAGATAGAAAAAATTGAAAAAGACAAAGCATTGTTAGGAAAAATAAAATTCAAAAGAAGATTTCAAATGCGTATACATATTTCTTCTAGTTATGTTTTTATTTTTTCGAGCTCTTGCTTCATTGAAATGAGAGCATTGAAATTATCACACATTTTTTCATGAACTTTGTTGATACGTAATTAGAGATATCAATAGTTAATGACATACATTGACAAACGACCACAGTCAGACACGACTATATAAAAAAGAAACAGAGAGTATACTCGATGTATTAGCTTAACTTCTAATACGAGTATATACGTATCCCATAAGGTGGTGTATGTTATTAATTATATTATTATATATAACAAGTTAAATGGAGGTCAAAAGTCCAAAGCCTGGACAGTTCTATGTTGATTGAGGATGGGAAGACGTTACTTTAATATAAAAATCAATGTATATACGTGGTAAGTGTAGATTATAAAGAGGTAGTATGATCCAAAATATGGGCGTCATTTTCTTTGTTTTGTTGTTTATATGATTGATATCTTTTTAATATTGTAATGCCACGTGTTGAGATATCAAACTAGGGATTGATTTTTACATGGGTTGGACGGTTCTTGTTTTTGTCGTTTTTTGTTGTCATGCGTACCTGATCCTGTACACTGTATCAGATCTTCCCTATTTTGCACTTGTTCGTGGAATTTTTGTGTTATATTATTGACTCCCAATTTTAGGAAATATAATGGAAATTGCTTTGCACTTTTGACGTTACTAATACTTCCGTTTTAGGTTTAATGCAACACTTTAAATTTGATAGATTTGTCCACAAATTCTGCAAATTGAATCTATAATTATCTATGTATGTACTGATGAAAATTATGAAAACTTGATACATTGAAAATATCATTAAAATAAGGAAAATGTAATACATAGCCTCAAAGTTACATATAAGTATTAAATTTACACTGAAAATCGTAAAAAGTTAAGAAATCATAAAAATATAAACATTAATTACACTAATTTACACTTTTTTTTTTATCATGAATTTCTAATTTTATACAATTTCCAAGAGTATATATATATATATATATATATATATATATATATATATATATATATATATATATATATATATATATATATATAACATTACCCTTAAAGTAAATACAAGTATTCAACATCTTATATACATCGCTTTCATGCATGTGTTATTCAAAGCTATGGTGAAAATGAGATAAAACATGTGATTAACGTAAAAGTCAAATGATGAATGCATTTAACCAGCATGAAACAAATCAAGAGAATACATGAATTATGTGTGGGTAGGTCGAGAAAACCTATAAGAAAAGTATAAGTTGCATGCATACCTTTCCGAATTGAAATGGGAAATTGATTTAGATTGTCTATCATGCAGTAATCCTTTGTTTTATTTAAGAAAATTCTTTATTTACTACAGATTGGAGTATAACAAGGTGGATCTAAGAAAACAGAAATTATATTTGTGGAATTTGAATTCACGACCGACTTTTTGGTAAAATATTATTTGATCAAACAACCCCTTAGAAATTGATTAGGAAACTAACAAATACTTTACACATTAAATAAATTTGTAGAGATTGATTCCACTTCGTTCTAAAGAGCCCATAGCTGGGTGAAATTCAATCCTACAACCTTGTAATAATGAAATGTAATTCATTACACTCAACCAAGACGTAATAATTGGTATTTGCTTTTAGTTTAATTTGATTGATCCTACAACCTTGTGATCGTACCTAAGGTTTCTTATTCAAAGCCTAGTACACATATAGTAACATGATCAATTTTACAACTTCAAAAGTGCAATATTCTATACTTTATGAAATGAAAAGAAATTTGTATTAATTTTTAAAATGAACTATCTTTAGTACCATAGTTGCATAACTTGCATTGCATGTAACTTTTAAAAGAGCTTTTTTTGTTGCTTATTTTCACTTTCCACAGCCAAAAGTTTTTGGAATCAAATCAACAAAACTTATCTACTTGACAAATATCTTGTTCATAAACAATATACTACTATTAATTCGGATTTTTCTTGATTTATCAAGAGCTAGAAGCGAGAGGGCCAGAGGTGATTAATCTGGTCCGGTTAAAATAGATGAGCCTAACCCGAACTCGTAATAATGTACTACTAGCTAAATGAACCGGAATTACTCATCTTTTTGACATAAGAATTCCTAATAGCTTTTAGGTTGGAGAATTTTCCTAATCAATCTCTCCCTAACTTTATCCATTTGAGCAGTTCCACACAAGTGACAATGCAACCTCAACCTCACAAAAAAAGTTCACAAAAATCACAATTTTTATTCGCCGCCTATCAATCTCTTGATTTGACTACGCAGGCACTCAAATAATATTCAGCCATGCATTGCATCTCTCGGAGGGTCCTTACTCACATGCTATCACAGGACTATCTTTACGCCCATTTATTTTTTGGACGGTCACGTTGAAATCATTTTTCCTATTTCAACCATCATTATTATTATGAAAATATTTAAATAAAATTCATTAGTAATATGGTTTTGTTTTGTTTTGTTTTTTTTGTTTTTTTTTTTTTTTTTTTGACAAGACGAACTAACAGCAAAGGATCTAGGCCCTAGTGAAGGCCGTAGCTGACAATCAAGGTTCATTTTCATGTGAAGGTACATGCAAAGTTAACATGCTCAAGGGACTGCACACAAAGGGTATAAGGAAGGTGGTTGCTGGTAGATAGGGGTGACAATTCGGATCAGCAGGTCAAGTTCGGGTCAGATTTCGGATTGTTCGGGTTTAGGTCGGGTACGGGTTTCTCTCAGTAACTTCGGGTCGGATTTGGGTCGGGTTATCGGATCGGGTTATGGATTGCCAGCCCTCCTGGTAGAGGATAATCAAGGTTCGGTAAAGGTAGCGACAAAGTTGATGTGGTGAAGGGACTATAATATTATACTGTACTCCGTATTAGAATCCTACCTTCATGTACATAGATTGACCTGTAATACTAGTTGAAATTTTACACGGTGAAAAATATATTTTGCAGGCATGGTTTAATTTTAGGTGATGGGTAATACTAGTAATGATCATCAACCTCAATTTTTGTTTAAACAACACTCCTACAAATTAATAGTTCTTTCGTTTTCTAATGTTTGTTACGTTTTTTAATGTTTACTGTTTGCACAAGCTAGCTAGATTAGAACTAAAGGATTGGAATCTACGAGTTGCTTTTTATGTGATAAGTGGCCTAAAAATGCTTAACGGATTAGTTCAAAACATAGAAGGT